ATAGGTGTAGTAGTACCTCTTCGGGCTCTTGGATACCTTTTTCTTGCTACGTGTGCGTGTTCTTTAGATCCTCAGATGGCTCTAGCACTTTCGTGACCACGGGCTGAGAGTCTTTGCTAGATTTTGGCATTTAGCAACTGGCATACGGTTTAATGTGAAGTCAACAACAACAACAACAACAACAACCGCCAATTTTTTTGTTGGGAGCTCCGTGTTAGGATTTGGTCCCCTACCATGCATTCTGCGTCGCCTCTCGCGTCAAAGAGCACGTGCCCATGGCCCAAGCACACAAGCAAGTACACCCTCCGCCCTTGCCTGCTGCTGAATTGTATCAGGAACGCTCTCTCTCTGACTCTCTAACTCTCTAGCTATCCATCACCATGGCTTTCCCGCAACATCGACGGCAACGTCGCTACCAAGCTTCCCGTAAAATGGGCGAAAGGAGAGTGCACGTTGACCCGTCCTACTACACGCTCCCGAGAGCGTTGACCTTGCCGGTAGGCGGCATGATCAAACATGGCCATGGCATCACCACCGCCTTCTCCTCCCACCCTGCAGCCGAGACCGTTGCTAAGGAGAAGCAACATAACAACAGTAGAGAAATGCTGCTACCCTTGGGTGGCTTCTCGTTCGAGCGCGCATCCACTGCTGCTGTAGTTGGCCCGGCTGCTGAGGTTGGTAAGGTTGTTCCAGCTTCACCGTCGCTGCTGGACGGGAGCGGGCAGGGGGTTGGAGGCGAGAAAGGATGGAAGGAGGGGATACTCGGCTATGGTGCTCGGGTGTTGGCGCTCTCCGTTTCGTCGCCAAAGTGAGTGGGCCGCACGGCAATAAGACTATGTGCGCTGTCTATCGGTGACAGAGCCCTCAGCCCGTCTCAAAGATAAAGATGGGTGTGTACATGTTTCAGGCAGGACCTGCCTGAAAAGACTTACGTGCGCTGTCTATCGGTGATAGAGCACTCAGCCCGTCTCAAAGATAAACGATGGGTGTGTACATGTTTCAGGCAGGTCCTGCGTGCCGAGAGAGCTGATTCCTCCAAACCACCTTGCTCGCAAGATATCGTCTCGATCAACAGCTAAAGACGCGAGTTCTTCGAACTGCATGGGCGTGACTGCTTGTTACAGCGGTTTGGACTCAGAAACTTCTCGTCCGTGTCCACTGCTGGACGTACACCTACCTGCGGAACAATAGAGACGCAAAAGACCTACAAGTGCATACAGATACAGGAAGCAAGGGGGGGCGGGGAGTGATGTTACCTTTCCGACCAATCATGTAGCGCCCGCAGTGAGGAAAAATTCCGTTAAGAAAAAAAGGCTCAACTAAAAAAGAAAATATGAAAAAAGGGGAAAGAAACACAGCTCAATCTCGGCAACAACATAAGGAACGCCCCAATAAGAAACATGATGGTGCGATACCCCCACGTCGTGGGAAACAGGGGAAAGCTGGGGGAGCGTGTCCAGTAAGAAACGTCCCACTGCTGCTCCTTCGGTGCTCCAACCCCCTTGCCTAGTTCAAGAGTACATGCTTTTTGTAGGGGGGAGAGTGGTATTGCCATACATCGCCCCGGTGGCCTGCGAAGGGCCAGGTCATCGGTACGAGTCCCGGCAGAGTGAGTTTTTTTCTCTTGGTCTCCGTTGGAAGCGACGCGCTGCAAAGCTCGTTGTTAGTAAACTTGATCGACTTCATCAGTCGCGAGGGAAGGGATTGCTGTACCCTTCTCGCGATAAAAATATCTCAGGCAGGCAGGAACCGCAGGAGGGGGTCCAACCCCCCCCTCCTGTGTGACCCCGGTTGGGTCGTCTAGCTGGTAGAAGTGGAGGATAGGGGCCAGAGGGGCAGACGACAGAGTCCAAGGATGGGGGGGGGTGTACTCATAGTCGTGCATGCCGTAGTCGTTAGACCATTGACCTCGCATTCCTACAAAGCCGGGACGGAGCACGCCGGGTTCTCACCGGACCAGGCTCTCACATCACCAAGCGCGAAGCGCCGTGAGATA